TCTTTCATTTTTCACTTACTTATTCAAGAAACATTCGACGTTAGGGATTGTGTTGAATGTTACAGTGGATCGTAAGACATTGTCATTACATTCTTGAGGTTTAAAAATCGAACAGTACTTTATATGGTTTCAATTACCATATGACTAGGGGTACCGGGGTGACCCCTGCCAGGTTACAGCTATTCTGTGAAACCACTTGCAAAATTTCTGTGCCACTGAATTTAAGAGCATACTCCTGGGCCAGTGGAGAGACTTTTGGGAACAGCAGTTGCTGTGTACACAGGAGAATTATGGAGTATTTCCTACCGTGCAAATCAGTGGTACTCAACTTTTGTCATGTAGTGCCATGTGTTCACTCATAATGCATGCCAGGGATTTACTGAGATTTTGGCCGTCGAGACAAAGATGAACTAAAATCAGTTTCCAGGGATGAGCAATTCCTTTCGCATTAGTCATAATTCCTTCCTTTTCCCATGGTTGGTTGTAGCAGGTCACTGTGTTAGGACAGCCAGGCTGAAGTCTGCAGCTACTACCTCACAGAGTGCTTTATTTTCTGCCCTTAGATTTTGAGTACATATTTGCAGAACTGAACTGAATAGGAACAGAGGTCCTTCCTATACACATCTTTCAGCTGTTTATTAAGGTGCATGAGTCAGCACCTAATTGGTGATTGTCTTTTATATCATGCCTGATGTGGTATAGGGATAAAGTTCCTTTATCGGCCTGGTACAGTGGCTTACGCAGGTAATGCCAGCACTTTGGGAGGCCGAGGCGGGCAGATCACGAGATCAAGAGATCGAGACCATCCTGGCCAACATGGTAAAACCCTATCTGTACTAAAAATACAAAAATTAGCCAGGCGTGGTGGCGTGTGCCTGTAGTACCAGTTACTTAGGAGGCTGAGGCAGGAGAATTACTTGAATCCAGGAGGTGGAGGTTGCAGTGAGCCGAGATGGTGCCACTGCACTCCAGCCTGGTGACAGAGTGAGATTCCGTCTCAAAAAAAAAAAAAAAAAAAAAAAAGAAAGTAAGTTTTTTTTATCTTTAAGCAGGGCTAACATCACTGGTAGAATGACGGGGTCATCTGAATGAATTGATCTGAGGGGACTCTGCTGGAAAGCATCTCTCCTCAAATACTCTTCTTGGTTCTTAGAGTCAGCAATTCATTTTTTTCCCCTAGTAGTTAAAGCAGTTTATCTGTAGGCATCGCTATTAATATATGGATCCCTCAGTCCCCATGCCCTCCTAAGGTGTAATTTGTGTTATTATCATACATTTGAGTCTTATGAGTCTTATTTAATTCATCAGGTTGACTTCAGTTAAATATTTTTAATTAATCACAGACAAAACTATTTTAAAATTTGAAATGAAGTACATGTAAGTCTGTGTTGACTTTGAAACTTTTAAGAATTTTATAATTTTAAATCTAGAAACTTCCATTTAAAAATTTTTAATATTTCAGAAGTCATAACATACATAAGAATCTTTGACATGCCCTAAAATCACTGTGAGTTAAGTATTATGAAACTTAATTTGGCATACTTATCTATTAATGAGATCTGAAGAATTGCTGGTTTATAATTGAAGTGATGTAACACTGAAGACATTTTTTTCAAGACTACGTGCACAGTTGATTCATTAAGTAATTTCTGTTTACTGTTGTGTTATCCTTCTCTACTTATAGAACTCAGTAGGACAAGCATGCTTGCTATCCTAGTTAAAAATAGATTAGCGATTAACTTTTGCATTGAAAGTCAAAGACCCTATATATTTATCTGAAAATGGAATGTGAAGATGCAGAGATATAATTATGATGCATGGCTTATAAAATCTAAACATGCTTCTAAAAGGGTCAGTTCTTTCCCTTAATACCTTAGATTTTATTTTTGAAAGTATGGTGTCAAAAACTAGATTCTATAAATCAGTATGACTATTTATTTATTTATATTTCTTTGACAGTCTCTGAACAAGAATATTTTCAATTAATATGCAAAACCAGCAATCAATTTACTCTCTATAACCTGTGAAGTGCAGATCATTTAGCCTTTCTATTCAAAGTGCCTCAATTTGGCCTCCAATATTACATCCTAGTAAACTGCAACCCATACCTTCTATTCTAGTTAGATTGGTTCAGCAAACATGACATTTGTGTTTGTCCTCTGTTACTCCTCTCCAACAGACTGTAGACCTTATTTATCTTTGCCCATTTATATCCTAACTGCCTTTCAAGCTGCCATTGAAGTCCTTCCCCATGCTTGACGTTTCTTTTGTTCTGCTGTGTACTACTTCTACCTCTACTCCATTTCCAAGTTCTTTTCATCTTGTATGTATTACTCATTTGGAATCAAATAACAATAGACATTTCCTGAATGCTAAATCCAAGCATTGTGCTAAGATTATTTCCTCATTTACTCCTCAAACCTAATCAGAAAAAGGTACCATTGTTATCCTAATTTTGATTAGGAAACATCTCAAATAATTTAAATGTAGGCCACCATTTAAACTGGTGAAACCTAGATTAAAGTGCATATTCTTATCTATTAAATAATGTTACCTTAAATTAGGAGCTAACCTTTCATCCATTTTAATCTTTTCCTCCTCGAGATTTTAAGTTCTTTTGGAATTTTGGAGGATTGCAATTTATATTTTCCAACCTCCCTGACACTGCCTGTCTCCTGCACATGGCTTCTAACATAGCACTCTGCATTTGGTCGAATCTCAATAAGTATTTTTTCATTGAAGAAAGAAAATCATGTATCAGTGTACTTCTACATAGATTTATAATTTGTTTCTTTACCTTTTTTAGAAACTTATATTTTTCTCTGTAATAAGTAATTACTCATTAATATACCTCAGTGACATGAAATATTCAGTCTACGAGTGCCTTAAATATGTTACCAATTTTTTTTTTTTTTTTTTGAGATGAAGTCTCGCTCTGTCACCCGGGTTGGAGTGCAGTGGCACCATCTCAGCTCACTGCAAGTTCCACCTCCTGGGTTCACGCCATTCTCCTGCATTAGCCTCCCAAGTAGCTGGGACTGCAGGTGCCCACCACAATGCCCAGCTAATTTTTTGTATTTTTAGTAGAGACGGGATTTCACTGTGTTAGCCAGGATGGTCTCGATCTCCTGACCTTGTGATCTGCCTGCCTTGGCCTCCCAAAGTGCTGGGATTACAGGTGTAAGCCACTGCACCCGGCCTGTTACCAAATTTTTTACCCTGGAAACATTGAAATATCCTCAACTCTGGGAAACTTTATTAATGTAATCATAAGATAGACTTTGTATAGGATAAACCTTAGGCAAAATCCTATTCAGTGCAACGTATGTTTACATTGTCATAGATCAATATTTTTTTTTAAAGAATAAATGAATGAATAAGACCTAAAACCACAGAAGTACAACTGTACCAAAGATAGCGAAATTACATAGAATGGCTGTGTATATAACAACTTTTAGTGACCTTTGCCAATAAAACCTTGATACCATTCTTACAGAATCCCTTTAAAACGTCTTACTACTTATCATTATAAATATGGAACAAAATGTTTTATTCATCTGAAGATAAAATGGGTGTATCTATGGTAGCACTGAAATATTATGTAATACAGTGTCAGCATTTCATCATATACGATTAATCTCATCTTACTTCCGCAGGGGCTGCTGTGGCTTCTTGTGTTGCATGGTAACTATCAACAAAAAGGTGTAAACAAAAGCACATTGCATTGCTTAGGCAGATAAAATATTCTTCCCTCCTAAGTCTATTTCTGATTCACTTTGGGGTGAATTGATTATTAATTGGGTGGGCAGGCAGAACTTCTGCTAAAAAACATTTCCAAATTGAATAACTGTTTTAGGCTATTGGTGTGTCTTTGTGTGTGAAGAATCAGTATCTAAAGGCTATAATGGGAAGATTATGCATGTATAGGCAAATATGCTTATATTCCATTCTAGAATTAAAACATTAAAGACTCTTAAAGATACATATAATGATTTGTGTTGAAAATGCTTTCTGGCCCTTAAGCTGATAGTAATATATTATTTGTGGATACATCATTAATGCACATGGACTACTAACTCTACTCAAATGCCAGAGCTTCTTGTTGCATTAATTCTAGGCTGTATATATCATTGTTAATAATTATAGAAGTAAAAACCAGCCTATCATCTAGTTAGATATGAATTAAATACATCTGGTTGGATATGAGTTAAACTATAAACTCATGGTAGTGAAGGAAATAATATACTCTAAAGTCCCAGATGGAGGCCTCATTTATATTCACCGGGGGTGATTCAGCTCAGAACTTCATCTCTGGTTCACATCCCTAACTCTCTCCATTTCACCACCAGATAGGAAATCTTGACTGTTAGCTCTCCTGCTGGGATTACTTACCGAGAAATCCTTACTTGATTATGGTAATACCACCTGACTTCCCTTGGGAAGACATTCAGATAAATTAAATATTCAAGAATTCATGAATAAAATGAAATCTGAAACATGTTTGTATTCATATGGTCTCCTCTTTTAAAAAATATTTTAAAATATTGCCTCCTTATATCTATTTAAGCTGCTTTTAAATAAAGAGGAGCCACAGACATTCCATGAATATTATTTTTATTTTTACTGAACATGCTTACTGGGAATAGAAATTACATGATATTATGAGTAGCTATTTTTAAATTTATATAAAAAAACCTTTCAGATTATCAATATATTTTTGAGTCTTTGCACTTGAGTAATATACATGATAATTAAACTCATGTTCTTCTGAAGTTATTTTTTGTTATAGACAAGTATTCCGAGAGTTTTTGCTAAATGTATTTACCACAGTTGAAATTGTCTTTGAAATTTCATCTTAGGATAATTCAACAAGTGTGTTACTCTTAAAGGGTTGTGATGAATGGGAGAATATTACTTTTTAGCTTTGATATGAGTAACTTTGTCATATTTGTGAGAAATAAAGTAAAAAGAACTTTGAGTTTTCCCCTCATTTGATACAGGAAACAAATGAAAAGCTTGAAAAACAATTAAAGAAACACACTAAAACTGTTTTCTACTGAGTAAGAGGATATATTCCAGGGATTTCAAAGCAGTTACAGGTAAGATCATTCATTCTCCGATATCTTGTGTGTGTCCTACTCACTTAGGTGGTATCCTACTCACTTAAATGCTGATCAAAGTCAGGTGACCCCGCAAGTGAGTGGAAGGAAAAAGTTGTTTTTAGACCTCATGTGGTACTTGTGTGTACTTCATGCTAACAGTATATTCTCATTTCTTTACCTACGAATTATATAAACAAAATTTTAGATCAACATCAGATTGAATTTCTGTATTTCTTTTAGTTATGTAATACTTGGGAAATGTGTTAAAGTGAGGTAGAGTTTGTGAAAAATAATAATGAAAGTATATGTAGGCTGGGCGTAGTGGCTCACACCTGTAATCCCAGCACTTTGGGAGGCTGAGGTGAGTGGATCACCTGAGGTCAGGAGTTTGAGACCAGTCTGGCTAACTTGATGAAACCTTGTCTCTACTGAAAATACAAAAAATTAGCCGGGTGTGGTGGTGGTTACTTGTAATCCCAACTACCTGGGAGGCTGAGACAGGAGAATCACTTGAATGCTTTGCAGCGAGCTTCTGAGATTGTACCACTGCACTCCAGTCTGGGCGACAAGAGTGAAGCTCCATCTCGGCGAGGGCACGGAAAGGAGAAGGAAGTATATGTAGTATATAGTATAAAAGGTATCACTTATTTTGTAGAATAGTTTGTTATGATGGAGTTGGCTATAAAATATATTTCTATGAAGTAATCCTATATATTTCTACGAGGCAAACTAATAGGATTTCCTACTTACTTCTATGTTAAACAATGAAGCATTTTCATTATAAAATCCCTTGAAATGTGATAAGAAAAAAACCTGAGCATCTGGTAACATGCTGGTGACATTATGCCTAATGTGACTTTTGCTTAGTTGAACATTACAGGAAGTTTTATATGTGAGATATTGTATTTCAAATTTAAGAGTTTATCCTGTTTTTGCAGTACATTCCAATATCCCATTTCAACTATCAACTGCTTCTCTGCTTTTCCTTTTCCTCTTATGTCTCAGAAACAGTCAAAGCTCTTCAGCTTTTCTTCCTTGAGTAAGAGTACAGTGACAAATAGGCCCAATGCAAAATTAGTCTTTACCAGTAGGTCCTATTCATTCAGGTCCAGTAGGTCCTGGCCAGTTCATTGGCCAGGTTAATGAACTGATAAATTAGAGGGTCACCCACATAGTGTGATTAAAGAAGATACTGAGAAATAAATGTCCTTTGCTCAGAAAAGGTAGTTCACTCATTGTTTTTTCATTGTGTCTATATTTCTCAGTATGATTTATTTCTTTGTATGTAGAAGGACTTTCAACTCTAAATAATCTATTACTGAGAGACAATTAGTAATACTGTTTATTTTAGCAATATCAACAACTATGGCCTGATGCAGATGAGTTGAGAACTTTCTCAGAGTAAAACATTCTAGGGAAGGGAACATAATTGGTTTAAGGGACTATTTTCATGTTTCTTTTATGAATGCTGTACATGACAGTATTTAATTAGATAGTTTTCAATGGCTGAGAAAAATACCCTGAAGTGCTTATAATTTTTTAAATATGTTACTAGATTGTTTTTAAAGAAATTACTTGCAATAATGAAATGTACGTTATGTTTCAGGAAATGTAATGGAAATAGTCCAATTTCAGCCAACTCACAATTTAAAGAGGTCTTGTCTATTGTATTGTCTTTTATACATCACGTCGCAAAATATTAGTTACTTTAAGATAGAGCTACCTTACGTAGAGTCAAAGCCCTTGTTAATTTGATTTGGATTTACTTGCAGTAAGGAATAACTAGAGTGGATTTGTTTGGAGGATCGCTTGCTTTGATTTTAATTTTGTATTAAAGCCCATTGGGCCAAGAAGCTTAACTAATACTTTCCCCAGGTGTAACACTTCTCTGTATTTATTCCCTAGTTTTCTCAGTTATTTCCTTACTGGAATTCAAAGCATATGGTAATTATAGAAATAAGTTATCTGACTATCATCAGCCTTGTGGGCTTCTTTGGAACGAAGGAAAAGGTGATAGTATCATTTTCTGGAATCCATGGATGAAAACTGTAGCTATGTTTGCATTAGGAAAATAGTTACCCAAAACAAATAAACTTACCTTTGGGAGTTTCCAACTCACTTGAAGAGTCTACTCCAGGAGATCTAAATTTAGCAGTCACCTTAAGATAGTTTTCATTTCCCTAGTTCTTGATTTGTATAGATTACTACATCTTCCACAAGTTGATTCTATGTAGTAAGTTTATTGCCTAAAATTGGCTTTCTCAAAAGTTACTTCTTTTACTAAGTTTACTTAAAAAAAATTTGTTAAGTTACATGACAAATTGAAAAATCAATGTGTGAAATTCTGGTAAACAAGCAATAAAAATGGTAAAGTGGTAATGTTGATTTTGGTAATGGTGCTTGTGTGTTTGGAAGGACTGTATACAATAGCAACATTTAAATTATTAATCTTTTTGGTACATATCTTATTAAGGAAATAATTTTCAGTTGTTATAAGAGTATATCACTTGGATATAAAACAAAAATTATTTTTTAAAGAGTTCCACACATTATAGATTTTTAAAAAGTCATTGTTAAGCCAATGTTTCGAATAAATTATGAAGCTTTTGAAGTCTATCAATTGATATTGATATCAATGTATTAAAAGCTCTAGACATTCTATTGTCTTAAAATACTCAATTTTAATATCAATTTCTGATTGATACAGGACAGATATAATTTTTATCACAATTTGTAGTTTAGGAAGGTATAGTCAATTATCTTTATAGTTACATACAATGAATCATTTCAGTTCCAGAAAGTATCTTAGGCTCCAAGTTTAATTCATTTCTCAGTCTATAGTAAAATAACCTACATTTGAATCTTGGCTTTTGCTCTGAGTTAATATTATTGTGACTTCAAATAAGCTAAGCTGTGGCTAACATTTTCTCATCTATAAGACAGTTGACAAGAGTACCCATTTCGTAGGCTTACTGTGAGGACTAAATGTATTAATTAGAATTAAGTCTAAATTTCTGAGTACCATGCCTGGTACATAGCAAGAGGGCATTAAAGATTAACTGTTATTATTATTTGATTATGGCGAGTGTATTACTGAATAATGCTGGAGGCAGAGAGATTTAATTCCTAATCCTGGATTTAATTCCTAATCCTGGATTTTTTTAGTTAATGATGTTGAGTATGTTAGTTAACTTGTTTGAGTTCAATCTTAGTAGAAATCTAATAGAATTGTTGTGCTGAATAAGCTAGTTATTTAACTTATTAGTACATATTTTGTCATTATTAGATGTGTGATAAATGATAAGTCAAAAAAAGATGGTAATTAATGACAGAGAAGTAAAGTAGTTGCAGATAACAACTGTAAAATACTGGACTGAAAAGACACTGAAGACCATTGAAAAGGAAACAGAAGTCTGCAACTGGAATGGCTTTGAACACTTGCAATTGCAATGGTTTTGAATTGTGAATACGCAGATTATGGGTCAAGAATGATGATCAATTATCACAGATATGGCTATGGAAAATGGTGGTGAAAATAAACTGCAGCCTTACCAGCTAATGATGCTAAGATCAATATGGGACTAGGTAAGTTGCCAGAAATTTAAAGGAAAATACTGAACAGCATAAAATCCCCAGAAAAAGTAAGACACAAATTCAGAACATAAGCTGTGTAAATTCATGTTTCACTAGTGAGCTACATATGTACAGAGATGAGGCTTAATGAAAAAGCAAGCGGATATTAAAGATAAATCCACTTTTAAAAATATAGGTATACAGATTTGAGTGGGAAACTTCTTAACTGAATGCATTTCTTGGCTGTGCACAGCACAAATGGCAGAAAGCTGAATCCGGATGGATTCAGAGTATCACTATATAGAGTACAAAGCCAGTAGAGCTGTTTCAAATTAGAGAGGAATTAATAGAAGTACCAAACCAGAGAGTGAGAATCATCTCTCTCAAATGCTTGACTGACCACAGAACTTTGCAGGAACTGGAAGACTTACAGAGATCAGGCTACTCGGGAGGCTGAGGCAGGAGAATGGCGTGAACTCAGGAGGCGGAGCTTGCAGAGAGCCGAGATCGCGCCACAGCACTCCCAGCCTGGGCGACAGAGCGAGACTCGTCTCAAAAGAAAAAAACAAAACAAAACAAAAAACAAACAAACACACAAAATAAAAACCGCTGCTATAAGACGCCATAGGCTACCTAACATAGGATGATGCAATATTTTTAGTTTGAATCCAGGCAAGTTAACGGCATACTAGAATAACACCCCAATAATTCTTGGAAGAACAATACAGGATTATAAGTAGCTATAACATACTATATACAATGTCCAGTTTTCTACCGAAATGTCTAAGACATGCAAAACCAAAACCAAAGCAAAACAAAACCCCCAGGAAATTGTGGCCCATGCTTAGGGAAAAAAGGTAGTTGATAGAAACTGACGCTGAGTTGACCCAGGTGTTGAATTTACTAGAAAAAGACTTCTAAGCAGCGATTATACATTTTAAAATTAAAGAAAATATGGTCAAATATTTTAAAAAATTATTTCTAAACAGAGAAATGGTAACTTCATCAAAATGCAAAATTTTAGAGCTGAAAAATACAGTAACTGATACTTTTTAAATGCTAGATAATCTTAACAGAAGATTGAAAGTAAAAGAAGAAAAAAATTGGCCAGAAGCAGTGGCTCACGCCGGTAACCCCAGCACTTTGGGAGGCCGAGGTGGGCGAATCACGAAGTCAGGAGATCAAGACCATTCTGCCCAACACGGTGAAACCCTGTCTTTACTAAAAATACAAAAAAATTAGCCAGGCGTGGTGGTGGGAACCTGCAGTCCCAGCTACTCGGGAGGCTGAGGCAGGAGGATGGCATGAACCTGGGGGGCAGAGCTTGCCATGAGCAGAGATCTTGCCACTGTACTCCCGCCTGGGTGACAGAGCAAGACTCCGTCTCAAAAGAAAAAAAAAAAAAAGAAGAAAAAAATTGTGAATTTGAAAAACGATTAATAAAATGTACACAATCCGGAACAGAGAGTAAAAGGTAAAAAATGTAAACAGAACGTCATAACTTCTGGGACATTATGGAGCCGTCTAAGATACGTGTAATTGGAATTCCAGAAGAAGAGAAAAGAAACGAATTAGAAAAATACTTGATTAAATAATGCCCCAAACACCACAGTTGAAGCAAACATTAATCTACAGTTTTAAGAAACTCCACAAACTTGAAGATGAATAAACAGAGAATGTTACTCCTGGACACATAATAATCAAAATGCTGAAAGAAAAATATTGAAAGCAGC